GTATGTCTTTCAGAGACAATTAGATAAGGCCAAACATTTTATAAAAGGTGGACATGTGCATTAGGTTGCTACTTGAAGGAGAATGTCATAGTACTTACAAATGACTCATTGATATTTGAAATTTTCAGCCTATTTTTGAATATTGTGTGAATGAATTCATTTATTGAAAAGATATTAAATGATTGAATTGGAAAACAGGAAAATTGTGCGATGAGTAGTTGTCTGTTATTCTGTTGCACAGAAAACAATAAGAAAAGAAAATATGTATATATTCAGGGCTGAGAGAAGTGACTCTGATTTGTAAGAAAAAAATCTGCAGTTGAATGAGTTCTTAGAGTTGTAATCTATGAATGTGAAATACTACCAGTTAAAGATGAAGTTCAATATAAAATAAAAATAGCTAAGGGTCAAAGTATGGATTTCTTGGTGAAAATAAGTAGACAGAGTAAATATCAATAAAAGGTTAAATACAAATTACATGATGGTAACATTTCAAACACAATACAATCCACAAGGCAATAAAAATAGAAATGCACAGCAGAATTTTCACAACAAGAACAAATCTCAGAGAAACTGTAGATTTTTAATATCAAGATGGAAGCCTGTCTACTTACCCTCTACTATGCTGCCAAGGTACTGGTGGAGCACAGAACACAGCATTCAGCAGGGTTTTTTTTTTTTTTAGCACTACTTCAAATAGCTTTATACAGAACACTTCCAGCAAGAGGCCTGTTAGTAGCTTTCACTTTATCAACACACTAGATTACTGCCACACCTAGACAGTGATCAGAGCTATGTTTGCTTGAATGGTGTCTTGTTGTCAGTCTTGGATTGGTGTGTGTGTGTGTGTGTGTGTGTGTGTGTGTGTGTGTGTGTGTGTGTGCTTCTTGGCTGTATATAATGAAGCTATAAGACATTAGTTATCAGCAGATAATTGTAGAGAAGAGGAGTTTTCCAAGAAGTTCCCCTAGACAACAAGACACCTTAGAAAGAAAAAAACTCTTCTACATGAATCCAACTTATCTGCTGAAATAAACTGTTTTTTTCTTTTCTTTCTTTTCTTTTCTTTTTTTTTTTGATTTTTTGAGACAAGGTTTCTCCATGTAGTTTTGGTGCCTGTCCTGGATCTCGCTCTGTAGACCAGGCTGGCCTCGAACTCACAGAGATCTGCCTGGCTCTGCCTCCGAGTGTGGGATTAAAGGCATGCCACCACTGCCTGGCTAAAATAAACTCTTGATGTTGAAGGGCCATTCATGATATTTCCTGAGGATTGAAGCTCACCCATCTCTGCATTCACCATTCATTCATTCATTTTTTTTAAACTTTGTAACTTGAAAACATTTAAAGCTTTGCTGCCTGACATCCATACTTTATGAACTCAAATTTCATAGAGGATAGATAAGGGGAAATGTTTGCAAAACAGTGAAAGAGAGTAGGCCTTTATTTGCATATTAGTAAATGAGAATTCAGCTTTAATTTCAGCACTAGCAGTTGAAGATTGGGGCTTGTGGTGAAGGTGTACAGTGCATGGTTACAGTTGTTTTAGGATAATAGTTTTTTCTATGAAACCATCATTGAACTTGGAGTTTGTCTTAGTTAATGTTACTTTTCTCCTTAACATTGTCCACAGAATGTAAAAGTCAATAGAACATTATTCAGACTGAAGGGTTTTATATGTAGTGTGTGTGTGTGTGTGTGTGTGTGTGTGTGTGTGTGTGTGTGTGTAACAAAATTATGGAAAAAACAAGTCATGAATTTGAAAGGGAGCAAGGAGAAGAATATTGAAGGGTTCAGAGGGAGGAAAAGGGAAAGAGAAATGATGTAAATATACTAAAATTCCAAAGGCAAATGAAAAAAATTAAAAAGACAGTAGGACTTCGCTGCCCACCCAGAAACCAGGTATTGCTAGGACTTTTTGTCAGGAGATTGTCAATTATAAACAGTAATAGAGGCTTTGTTTATACTTTTTTCCTGACTGAAGGTTACTCCTGAGCATATTTTCCATCCAGTTAGTGAGAGAATTTGGTTTTGGAAAATCTGCCAGTGTCTTTATAGCATTTGAAAATGGTTCAGGTATTACTGGAAGAAAAAGATGTTCCTGGTGATAGAATTCTTACTCCGTGGGCTGTCTCCAAAATTGTTTCCTTAGGGAAAGTTAACACACTGTATTCAACTGTAGTTCATCTGGGTTCAAATAATGAACAAGTGTAGAAGGGTGTCCTTATAGCCTGTGTTAGAAGTGATCCTTGTAGCACCTGGTGTACCAATAGCCTCACCTTGTTTTGTTTGTTCAAGATAACTAAGTTCTCCAGTCCTACATTTCTCTACCTAAGAAGCTGAGGGAAGAATTTGTTCTGTTGATGTACAGGGGATTTTGGCTTTGTCTTTTCTTTGAGTCTTTTATTTTACGAATGTTTGTATTAATTCTTTGAAGATTTCGTGCAATGTATGTGCAATGAACATGTGAGCTCACTGCCCCAACTGCTCCCATAACCATCCTCTCCACGCTCCTCTATTTTCACACCCAAATGTTGAGTCCTCTTCATTTCTCTTCACCTACACACGGAGTCCACTTTCTGTTGCTAAACTTGTCTTGAGATGGGGACTGTCCCAGTGTGTGCTTGACCCACCAGGGGTCATACAGTTAAAGAAAACTTTTGACTCTCCTCCCAGCAGCTATCAATGCCTGTAGCTTCTCAGCTAGAGATAGGATTTTGTGTCCACCTTCCTCCCTCAGTGTTGGGATTTTGTCTGGCTTGAGCTTTTTCAGGTTTTGTACATGTTGTTACAATTGCTGAGTTTACCTGTGCGAATGCCGTTTTATCAAAAAAACAAAACAAAACAAAACAAAAAACCAGCTTTCTTATTTTTACTTACTATTTCTATCTCTTACAATCTTTCCTTGTTCTCTTCCATGAAAATCCCTGAGGCTTGAGATGAAGAATGTGTTATGAATGTTCTGTTTAAATTGAGAACACCACAGTCTTTTGTTCTATTTGTACTGGAAGGTGAAGGTCTCTGTATTCATTGTCATTTACTGCAAGGAGAAGCTTCGCTGATGGGGGTTGAAATATGTTATGATCTATGGATATAGTAACAAGTCACTAGGAGTCTTTAAATTTATTTGGTAGTTTTTTCAAAGTTTAATACAAGATATTTTGATCATATTTACCTCTCTCCAATTCTTCTCAACTCCCCCTTATACCCTCTGTTCCCCCAAGTATATATTCTTCCTCCTTTCTGAGGAAATGATTTATCATGTTGCTCTTGAGATGAAATATGTGGGAACTGTTCTTGGTGCTGTCTTGTGCAGAGCAGAAGATGCAGAGGAAGAGCTCAGGAGTGCTCGTCAGGGTGATATATGTCACTCTCTCCTGGTGGACACAAGTTCTGTCACTTTTAAAAAGACCTTGAAGTTCCAGTAGTAGCACACATTCCACACTGCCCACCCCTGGAGTGGAGTGTTTTGCATTTCTCTTTGTTTCCTTTCTCTTTTTTGTTGTTTGGAAGGAGCCATGTCAGGAGGACATTTCTGTCTCTGCAATGATGGTATGTATGCTCATGCTTCTATTCTTAGCAACTTCTAAAACTTTTCACATGCTGATGTACTTTATCTTCCCAGTATAGCTGACATGTAATTGTTGGGCCTTTGCTGCAGGGGGCTGAGGCTGTGTTCCAATCTCTACACTGGAATACTTCATGTCTTGCCTGTAATCTCTAATGGTTTTTATTTTAAACAGTGCCTTATTTATCTCTCAGGCTTGTTTTGGATTAGTCATCCTCCTGCATTCATCTCTCCACTGCTAGACTAAGGTTACCAGTGTGCACCACCACACCAATTTTATTGCAGTCTTTGACATCTATTTTTCTCTCTTTGTTAGTTCTATTGGCTTTCAGTCATGTTTCTTTGACTGCACTTAGCTCCTTAGGAATTTTAATGTCATGCTTCATTTCCTGCTTGTCTAGGTCGTACATCATCCTTATTGTGTATGATGTTGGTAATGGAACAGATATTGGTGCAAAGTGAAGAGAGATGGTTGTATCTGAAGGTCCTAGGTGCTAAAAGATGGCATATGTACTAACAAAGGGAGATACAGAGAATGGGAAAGATCCTTGGTGTGTGTATAAATTCATTTAAATTCTTTGCCTGATACCATGATAGGACAATCTCCAAATTTACTCATATACAGAGATGAAAGAATTACAACTTTAGAGAATATTTATATTCTTATTACATCAATTTTACTTGAAAACTATTTTATACAGCATCTTGATAACTATATCAGTATAAGCATGAGTTAGATGCACAAAAACACTAATGTTAAAAAGTTTTATTAAAATGATGAGTCAGTGGCATTTGTGTTTCTCTACTAATGGATAGCAGTGTGTGCATGCATGACCCTGCAAAAAGTAAGATGAATATTATTCCTAGAAGAGAATATCTGAGGAACATTGATATCTATGAAACTTTTAGGCAACTCTGATAGCTTTCTGTAAGAACTTTCTGAAGCACGAACAGTTCCCTGTACAAACATCATTTTGATGTATTTAATGTTGTTTTTCTTTTATATGTCAGTCTAGATTTTGTTGCTGGCTCTGAGTTACAATTCCCTAATGTTACTTGTCTAGAAATCAAATATCCAGACTAAAATATGTATAAAGAAAAACTAGTAAAAACAACACATGTAAGCATATCTTTATTTTGATGACAGCACATGAGAATTCAGTGTTTCTTCCACATCAACAAAAAAGACTTCAAGGTGCCCTCTGTAAGTCACATAATATCTGGATAAAGTCTAACATTGCTGCCTTGGAAATTGAAAAATTTTGTGCAAAAAACTATGGACCAAACCATTGGTGAATCTATATTTAATTGGCTCTGTCTATACGTATTCATGACAGTCAATGCTATGAGAGTTCCAGAATTCCATAGCATTTTAGAAGACTGATTAATACATTTTCATCAGTGTACAAGGAACTAAAGAATCCTTCTAGTGACAATGAGTCATATCCTACATGTCACATTAACATTTATTTTAAGTGTGGAATTCATAATAGGAAGTTTAGGAAATGGATTCATGGCACTGGTGAACATCATGGACTTGGTCAAGAGAAGAAAGATCTCTTCAGTGGATCAGATCCTCACTGCTCTGGCCATCTCCAGAATAACTCTGCTCTGGTCATTAATTGCAAGTTTATTGGTTTCATATATCTACACAGCTTTAATGATAACTGGAAAAATGATGAGAATTATCAAAATTTTCTGGACAGTGACCAATCATCTCAGCATCTGGCTTTCTACATGCCTCAGTATCTTTTATTTTCTCAAGATAACCAATTTTTCAAACTGTGTTTTTCTTTATCTGAAGTGGAGAGTAAAAAAAGTGGTATCAGTGACATTGCTGGTGTCTTTGCTCATTTTGTTTTTAAACATTTTAGTCATAAACAGATATATTGATGTCTGGATTGATGGACACGAAGCAAATATGTCCTACAGTGCTATCTCAAGTAAGTCTGCTCAATTTTCTAGACTTGTTTTACTTGTCAACACTATGTTCACACTCATACCATTCACTGTGTCCTTGACAATGTTTCTCCTGCTCATCTTCTCCCTGTGGAGACATCTGAAGAACATGCGGCACAATGCAGAAGGCTCCAGAGATGTCAGCACCACAGCCCATGTAAAGGCCTTGCAAACTGTGGTCGCCTTCCTGTTACTGTATACGGTTTTCTTTCTGTCTCTTCTTTCACTATGTTGGCTTGTTGAATTCAAGCAGAAAAGTTTCATAGTTTTGTTTTTACAGGCAGTGGGAATTGCTTTTCCCTCAGCCCATTCATGTGTCCTGATTCTAGAGAACAGGAAGCTGCGTCAATCCTTGCTTTCCATGCTTCGGTGGATGAGGTACAGGCTCAAAGATACAAAATGCTCTATTCCCTAAAGCATATTGGGGACCAGCTTCCGTATTCCAGAGAAAAATCAGTTCATAGTTTTCATGTGTTAGGGATGACCAGGGTGGAGGTCCTCTTTCAGGAAAGGGGTCTGTTAGAGATGCAGACAGTGTAAAGGTTTCTATTAATATGGGAGACAGCACAAGCAAGGTCAAAATGTGGGTACCATCTCTGTCAGAAGAACAGAGATTTTTTCCCCTCTTCTAAGCAAGTAGGGAATGGGAAAAGTATTGTACCATGCCTCTGTGGACCTGAGATTAGCAGACACGATCTAACTAACTAGACAGAGACATTGTGCTTTCCTGTATTTTTAGGTAAGTAGGAATAACATTCCTGGAAAAAGGACTTCCCTAAGAATGTTAATATGTGATGCAACAGTGGCTACTCATTTGGCCTGCCCCTCTTCTAGGGTGTTACTAAGGGACTCGTCCTAGGAAATGGAGTGAACTGAACTCTTATGAGAGCTGTGAGGAGAGAAAGAAAACCTGCAGGGTGTAGTCCCCACATGTGTTAGTCAGCAGTGCCCAAAGGAAACAGAGTCTGCAATGGGTGTGGGATATAAAATAAGTAAGCCTTTTATGTATAAGTTTGTAATTTCTAAATTATTCAGGTATATGTAACTATGGATTTAGAAGATTATATGTAGATTAAGCACCACATTACAGCTCTGCAGACAAGATACAAGCATGTTTATTATTATACAAAGATGTGAATGTGAACCACTTAAATATAAGAACTGGCATCACGTTTTATCACCATTAATCTTTTAAAGACTTTAAAATGATCAATGAATAACACGTGAGATATGTATCTGCATGCATTCAAGTGAGGCACTGAAAAAGGAAACCTGTAGCTGTGTCAATATAAAAATTATTTTGTTTTCTCTAAAAATGTCATAAAGTATAAAATACAGACTTGGATATTAAGATATACTTAATCCATTTTTTTTTCATTTATAAGATCAGTTTAGAAAACTTGAGAAATTCTGAGCCAGTGAGTGATTACTTTTACCTTTTGAGCCAGTTTCTTCCACTTTTAGGTGGTTCTGGGGATGGGATTGATTCCAAAATTTTCCTGTCATCTTTATACACATGTAGTGGGAGAGTTGCAAGCTTCTCTCTCTCTCTCTCTCTCTCTCTCTCTCTCTCTCTCTCTCTCTCTCTCACACACACACACACACACACACACACACACACACACACACACACACACTACAGTAAGGCCGGGCGGTGGTGGCGCACGCCTTTAATCCCAGCACTCGGGAGGCAGAGCCAGGTGGATCTCTGTGAGTTTGAGGCCAGCCTGGGCTACCAAGTGAGTCCCAGGAAAGGCGCAAAGCTACACAGAGAAACCCTGTCTCGAAAAACCAAAAAAAAAAAAAAAAAAAAAAAAGTAAATATATTTTCAGTTTATCCCAAGTTTCCTATGTATATTATTTAACTTGGGAATCAAGAATTCTTGAAACATGTTTGTCAATGGGAATGCATTGAATTTTTTATTTAGTTCTTCTGTATGTAGTATAATACATTTTTGTTTTTATGCTCATAAATGCCAAATGTGCCTATGATAGTGTCTAGGTTAAATGCCACAGTAAGAATTTGGTGGTAGTATTTTATTTTATGTGATCGTGTACCTGAATTTTTCTAAGGTGACAAAAAATCAATTTAGCATAGGCATGAAAATTTAGACTAATGTGGAAGTCACTAACATTTAATTAACACAAATTTTGTTGTACATGTATATTATTAGTATAGAAAGTAGGTAAAACACACACAAACTTGATCAAATAAATGAATTATTTAAAATAAACTGAGTCAAAGATGGGAAGCTTAGAGAGCTTAGCATGACTGAGTGGTCGGTCACATGTCCTACGCTCAGTGCTGCTTAACTCTTAGTAAGAGACCACTGAGAATGTTTAGAAAATGTAAGATTTCTTATTCAATGCTTATTTTTACAAATAAATCTCTTCAGACTGCTGGGTTTATGTTTTGCCTAGATTTTATCTTCAATAAAGCTTTTTAAACATGTAAATTAAAAAAATTTGAGTGTATTTTCTGTATGGTTTTTTAGAGATAATTTTATGAGAAACAGATGCTTTCAAATGGGAATTGAGAAATAAGAATCCACCAAAGGAAGATGTTATCTTATTAATTTGTAGGTCTTTTGTCCACTCATAATGGTAGGACGCTGTTTCTCACGTATAGAAACCAACATTCCTTGAAGTTAATTAGAGCAATAATCTCTACAGAGGGAGGCTCTCCTACAAAATTCAGGTGAGATATTCAGGGGGAGAAGCTGCTCACAGTCACACTTGAACTCTGGTGGGATAACACAGAAAAGAATGGGAAGTCTTCATGCTTAATTTAAGCCTTCTCGTTTCTATACTTGATAACTAATTTGCACAGGAAGCACAGGGACTGCTTCTGTTTGATACATCAGTAGCTGTGTTGCTCATGTTTTCTTGTTTCTATGACAAAATACCTGAAAAGGGCAACTTAGGGAAGAAATCAGATTTTTTTTTTTCTGACAGCTTGAGGGTACGCCTTATGGCAGGGAAGGAATGACCACAGGACTGTGTTCCGAAGTCAGGAAGCAGAGATAAATGCTGGTGCTCTGCTTGCCTTCTCATTTTTTAGGTCAAGAACTCAAATGATGGATGTTCTGACTCACAAGAAGAGTGAGATTTCCTACCTCAGTTAACCTAATGTAGAATGTCTCTCTTACATAGGCCCAAAGGTTTGTCTTCTGGGTAATTCTAGATCCTGTCAAGATGACAGTCAACATTAACCTTCACAGAAACACCTGTTTAGTAAAGTATGAAAGGAGTTTTGTGCCTAAAGTTCACTGTCTTGTCTTCTGCTGATACAAAATCGTACCACCTGCATACAATTACTTATATCAATTATTTAGCTAAATAATACCCTTATGTATTTATCTTTGTTGTTTGGTTTATGTTATGAAGCGGCTTAAACATGCAAAATGTTAAGTACTTGTAAACAGCTGCTAAGAGAGAGAACTGCTTGAGTTGTCTGTAGGATGTGTGTGGAGCTGCAGTGATGCACTTTATATGAGTTGTCACTCAGGCTGGGTGCAAGGTGGGCTTTCAGGGATGAAGCTACCCTTATGTCTCCATGCTCTTGTAAGAGCTCTCATCCGTGTCCCTGCAAGTAATCCTAATAAACTAATTGGTTCACTGAACTAGACTTGAGTGGAGTCATTTCTTTGTTCTGTTGTGGGTGACTTACCTGGAGTAAATAGGAATCTGTTGACATCTCCCTAGGAAAAGTCAGGGAAGAGGTTATATTGCAAGACACTAAGACCACCAGAATCAAAGTCAAATTCAGAAAATGTCTACAAACTTGTGGTTGTAGAAAGTATATTCACGTGAGAAATCTTTTTAGAAAGTTGCATACTGGAAGGTAACTGACAGATACTCCTAAAGTGCTGAAGAAGGTAACTATAAACTCAATTTGTAGGCAAAAATTTGGTCTTATGCATTCAGTTAAGTAGTGTCATTCCATATTAAAATACAAAACAAAACCAGTATTATTTAATATGTACCTTGTGCTTGTGAAAGGTATTAGTGGGCCAAGCACAGAAAGAATATGAGGGACCAGTTTTCTTGTCCCCAAACTGCCAGTGTTGATGCTATACTGTTCAAGGTACTCAGAAAAAATTTATTGATATCCTCAAGTATAAATCAAGTATAAATGATATCATAGGGTGAAACTGTAATCTAATTTGACCAGTGTCCATATAAGAAGGCAACAGACATGGAGGAATCTATAGACATAGAGGAAAGTGTGTTAACTCACAGAGGAAGGCCTGTAAGAAGATGACTTGCACACCCCAGCAAGATAGTCATTGCCAAAATGCAACACTTGTGGACACTTAACCTTGCACTTCAGCCACCTGAACTTTGAGGAAATAAATGTCTGTCATTTAACAAATCTACTATGTAGTGGTTTTTAAGTGGATGCTTAAGAAAAGCAAAAGGAAGGCCAAAACAGCTTTATTTATTATCCAATGGGAGCTTCACATAATCACAGCATACAGAAAGACATCCCACAGCAGTTCAATATCCATGCTTCCTTTCTTGATTAATGACAGAACTATGGGGATGTTGGTGGCCACACTACAACATTTAGGATCATTTTGTCATAGTAGAGGCATAAAATATTCATAGAACAAATTTGCTGAGGCTTTAATAGTGTTTAAGCTTCTTTTAAATTTTAATTAGTATTTTGACAATTTCATAATACTATATTTACATAATTTATACCATCCTTCTCCTACTCCTCCCATGTCTCCTGTCCATCTTAAATTTCTGACTTTTAAAAAATAACTTTATTTTCTTTTAATAGTTATCGTTCATAGGTATATGAATATATTATATATTCTGTTTCATCCATTTAATATTGCTCATATGCATATGTCTTTCAGAATGAACATTTGAAATTGAATAGCCTTGCATTGAGATGTTCCTAGAGAAGATTCATTCTCTCTCTCAGAAGCCCTTAATTGCCTATAGCTCTTCATCTAGGAATGTAGCCTTGTGAGATATCTACCACCAGCATAATGTGTTGGTTTGTGTTGTCACTGTACAGGTCCTATTTAGCTTCTTAATGAAGATGAGTTCTGAATTACTATAACAATGAACCAAAAGTTTATGGAATAGTAATATCAAATGAAATACTCTCAAAGATAAAAAATATGGAGCCAATTGAGACAGTTGGAAGCACTTACATGCAAGTAATGGATGCTGTGGCATGCATATTTAATCCCAGCATTTCTTAGGAGATGTAAGATGAGGATACAGGAGAGTTACCTGGAGGTTCATAAGCCAGCCATCCCAGACAACCAGTGTAGTGGAGGAAACTACAAGAGAAAACTTGCCTCAAAACAAGCTGGAAGGAGAGTATCATCTCTCAAAAGTTGTTCTCTGACCTCCACTGTGGCATACAAGTGTCTGCAACCACACACACACACA